AATTGGGTTTCAACAGGTTTTAACCAACTTTCCCAGCTAGTGGACTTGGAGGAAAAAGATATGGTTTTGTCCTATGCAGAGAGTGGTGGGGTAGAAGAGGAGCTTCCAAGATCTATTTTTGCGAATGCTTGGTCTAAAGGTTTGTAGTTGGCAGATTCTTGGTCTAAAGGTTGGTAATTTGCAAAAGCATCCATGACTTGTATAAATAGAGGCAGATAGGTGTAGCCAATAAATGTATTAAGGTTCTTTCGAGGCTTGTAATCATCTTCAAAAGACTTCTCATATGCTTGATCAATGAAAGAGAAGTTGTGATTGGCTATTGGAAATGCACTAGTCTTTTCGTCTACTAGAGAATGGAAGTGCAAAGCAAGGATTTAATGACGTTCACTGCTTCATTGTTCGAAAAACGGTTACACTTCCAGAATATACAGAGTCCATGCATGTCCTAGAACGTGGGTAGAATGCACTAGTTCATTAATATCACCAAGTTTTGGGTATATTAGTGCAGGGGGTAATGTTGGTTGTATAATTTGTAAAAACCAATCGTCGAGTGACACGTGGCACCTAAAGGGCAATGGGGGGAATTAATGCAAGTCTCCAACAAAAGACGAACACGTGGCAGTTCGTATTGGTAGTATTGGATTTGCATGGCATCAGAATAATCAAGAGGCGTGAGATGACATAGCCAGCGGTTACCTACAATTTAAATTCAAATTCAAAAGGGAAACTTAACTGCAAAAGAGGCGTAGTGGGAGCTAGTTGAGCAAAGCCATGACCAGAGATCGTGGAAGTGTATTTCAACGATTAAAAGGCCACTTCGACGATTACCACTAACGAGTATAAATAGCAGAGAAGGCTAAACAGAAAGACCCCCAGACTCAAATCCAGAAACCAGTTTATTTACTTCATTTTCTTTCCAGTTTTACATTTTCAGTTCTTTACATTTCCAGCACTTCAATTCCTGCACTGCATTTCATTTCCTAGGAGTAGTTTTTCAGTAGTTTGTTGTTGTGAACCTTGTCGAGGCTGCGTCATTGTAACTTCATTGTAAGTTTTCATTTGCTTAATGAAATTTGATTTCTGAATTATATTTACTTGTTACTATTCATAATTTTCTCCTAAACAAGCCATCAGTAAAAGTTTTATTCATTGAGGCTGAAAGAACTTCAACACAATTGCTTGATAATTGGTTGACAATTATAAATTCTGTAAAGACTAATTAATCCTTACTGGCATGCTTAAATTTACACTATTAACCCTCGAAAGCTGAAAAAGCCAACAATTGGCTACCGAAGACAGCAATAGTAATGTCGAAGACGATGGTTGGGAGTGGGGCTAGGGTTTGGAAAGACCAGGATAGGTCTAGTATTATGGTAGGTGTAATGAGAAAGAAGTAAATTTTCAAATTTGAAGAAAAGGTGTAAAAAGAAAATAGGTGTAAAGAGTTAATTTTGGGGTATAAGTAGAATTATCCTTGGTCTAATGGTTGTGTAGCACATTTTGTGGTATGAAATCTCGAGTTCAACTCATATACAGAAGAGTTTGAAACTTTTTGTAGTAATTGGTTTATTTCTCTCTCATTATGGGGGGCATAATGTTTCAGACCCCCACTGGGGGAGTGACCCCCAGGACCCCTAGTGGGGTCTAATTGGCCATAATATATATATATTTTTCTTCCAATAACCAACCCCTACGTTTACGTGGGAGGCGGGGGACGGGGTGGGGTTGGGAAAAACGAGGGGTCTCCATCACGTTTCTTATGGGGGTTGTATGTGATTATTAGTAGTTTTTAGGCTTGGCTTGGCTTGGTGGGTGTATTAGTTGTTAGACTTTGTTGATTTTCTAACTATTTCAAGCTAGTGGTCTATTTAATAATGTAAATATTTCTCATAATGTAATTACTCTTCTATTTATTCATTAAAAAAAAAGTTACATGCGTGATATATGGTATCATTGATTAATTAGAAAAAATAGAAACAAATATTAAAGATTGCTTTTGGGGAGTCCTAGTAAGTTAAAAAGAAAAAAAAATTATATAAATTTTCACATCACTCTTTATTTTTTTATAATTTTTTTAATAAAAAGTAAAAAAATTATTAAAAAAAACAAAAACAAAATCCAAACGATCACTAAGGCCAAGTTTGGCATCTTCCAAAAAATCCAAAAAGTCAAAAAGTCACTATCCTATTTAAATCACATCATCTCATTTAAGTCACATCACCTCTCTAACACATCACTTCAAACCCAACCCAAATCCAATCCATATTTCATAAAAAGTCAAAAAGTACATTTATTTAGTTTTCCCAAACTTGACTTAAGTATAATAGTGAGACCATTAGATATCGTCAGCCCGTCAAATAACTTAAATAAAATCAGGAAATACCATCTTCCGATAATTTAGGTAATTATTAAGTACTTTCAGAGCATTATATGAAGAGTTCCTAATCAATAACATAAGGAAAAACGCTACAAATTGGACAATGCTAAAACTATTTGTTAGAATCCTGCCTAGTATATTTTGTATTTTGGCTAGTATCAGATTTGTATTATTTCTTATATTTTTTCTCTAAAATAATATTTTTTGGTTTTTTTACCACGACAAGACACCTAAGCCTTCGTTTGGGAAGTGGGTTGGCTTTTTAACTTTTTGACTTTTTGACTATTTTAGCCTGAGCTATTTTAGCCTGGTTTGGGAAGGACATTTTGGCTTTTTTGACTTTTTTTGTGAGAGAGGATTGTCATGATTATAGGTTGGATTTGATGTTTTATTTCTTCCGATAATTTAGGTAATTATTAAGTACTTTCAGAGCATTATATGAAGAGTTCCTAATCAATAACATAAGGAAAAACGCTACAAATTGGACAATGCTAAAACTATTTGTTAGAATCCTGCCTAGTATATTTTGTATTTTGGCTAGTATCAGATTTGTATTATTTCTTATATTTTTTCTCTAAAATAATATTTTTTGGTTTTTTACCACAAAAAGACACCTAAGCCTTCGTTTGGGAAATGTGTTGGCTTTTTAACTTTTTGACTTTTTGACTATTTTAGCCTGAGCTATTTTAGCCTGGTTTGGGAATGACATTTTGGCTTTTTTGACTTTTTTTGTGAGAGAGGATTGTCATGATTATAGGTTGGATTTGATGTTTTATTTTTTGTGGCTATTTTAGCCAAAAAAGCCTGACTTTTTTCTTCCCAAACGGAGCCTAAGTCAACGTTAATCGGTGTTAGAAGGGAAAAAAAAAATTTATTTATGAAAAAATTTATAATTTTAATTATTAATATGTATAAAGTTTTTTATTGATTTGCAATTATTTTTTTTAAAATCTTACTGAAATGATATTTCCCTTAAATGAAATAATCTAATTGTCCAAGTTAACATTAAAAAAAAATAAAATTAAAATATACCAACTACACATTTTAAAATAAACAATGCTAAAAATAGCCTCCGTTTTTATTTTATTTTATTTTATAGATTTGATGCTAAAAATAACCTTAGGATGATGGCTAGTATCGAGTGTAAACGTATAAAAAAAATAAAATAAAAATATTTTGAGATATATAAAATATATATTAAAATTATAAATACTTTAACATTCACCTTATTTGATACATTTAATTATAAGTTAAAAGGTAATAATAAAAAAACAAAAGTTACTCAATCCATTTCCAGAAAATCAACACGCCCTTTGTGTGTGTGTTAGCAGGACAATCTCAGGCGCAGTTTGGCAAGTGGCTTAAAAAAGTCACTTTTTTGACTTTTTAATAAAAAAAGTCAATTTTTTTACCTAAAATAATCTAATTTTTTGTCAAAAAAGCTATAAAAAAATTCAAAAAACTAATTTTTTACCAACTTTCTAAAACACCACTCATTAGCAAAATTTTTAATTGGTTGGAGATAACATCTCAAAATAATATTAGGGCGATTTACACAAACGATCCATAGAATTTGGGATTTGTGTTATTTTAATTATTGATTTTTTAATTATGACACATTGGACCTTAAATTTTGAATTTTGTTCCAAATAAGAATAATTGAAGATATCGTTACTTAATTTGAAGGGCAAAATCGTCAATTTGATAAAATATAAACTAATTTAACAAAAATAAATGTCAAAAAAAGATTTTTGAATTTTTTAAAATTATTTCTACCTATTAAAGATAAAATTATGTAAAATTCATAAATATTTTAGACATTTATTTATTTTACTAAATTAATTTTTATTATATGTTTGGATGATAATCATGTAATGGGTGATTGTTTTTATTTTCATTAAATTAGTTTCTATTTTTTTAAAGTGACAAAGTGACACAAGTCTCAAATTATAAAGAGCGTAGTGTAATTCGCCCATAATATTATTATATTCAATATTTATTGAATTAGTGTAAGATAAATTAATCAATAATACTATAAATTCAGACTTAATTATTTAAAAATTATTTAAAATTATCATTTTATAATTTAATTTATTCTACACATAAATCTTACACTACATAAATTTATCTCAACTACACAATCTCATCCAATGTAAATTCGGGTAGTTAAACTGGGATACATCTGTGTGAGTTTGGCAATAAGTCAAATAAATTGCTTATTGGCTTATTAATTTATTTATTTCATATCACATTTTTATTTTTCTGTAAATTTTTTTATAATAAGTTAAAAAGTTAAAAAATAAGTCATATTCAAACTTACCAACAATTATTCTAATCTTAGGCCCAGGTTGGGAAGGATTATTTGAACTAAAATAATCAATAAAGATAAAATAAATTAAAATAATCAATAAAATAAAATATTATATACAATTTATAATCATTTTATTTTTTTTTTATCACAACCCTCAAAATCAATTACAAACAAAACCTTCTAAATCCAACTTTTTTTTTTTTTAGTCAAACTAAAATAATTAATTAAAATAATCAACTTTTCAAACAGGACTCGCATATAATTTTGTAGAGCATAAAATATCACCACCATTGTAATTGTTCCAGAGACTCTATACGTACACACCAACAGATCCCCAGCTCCATGCTCATAGCTTAGCAATGCACTGAGTGAGAGAGAGAGAGTGTTAAATTGTGTTTCAACAGTGAGCTGCTCTCTTTTGACAAAATGGATCCAGATGCCTTCTCAGCCAGCTTATTCAAGTGGGACCCAAGAGCCGCCGTGCCACCACCGCCCACCCGCCTCCTCGACGCGGTTGCTCCGCCTCCTCCGCCGCCGCCAGTGGCGGCTTACGCCGTCCGGCCGAGGGAACTCGGAGGGCTGGAAGACTTGTTCCAAGCCTACGGCATCAGATACTACACGGCGGCGAAGATAGCTGAGCTGGGATTCACTGTGAACACCCTCATGGACATGAAAGAAGAAGAGCTCGATGATATGATGAATAGTCTCTCTCAGATTTTCCGGTGGGACTTACTTGTTGGAGAGAGGTATGGTATCAAAGCTGCCGTGAGAGCGGAGCGTCGCCGCCTCGACGAGGAAGACACGAGGCGGCGCCACTTCCTCTCCGCCGACACGACTAATGCTCATGATGCACTCTCGCAGGAAGGTACTCTACTAAACCCTAAATTTTTTATTATGAACACAGAATGTTAAGGGAAAATTACTTTGAAGTCATATTACATATGAAAAAATTTATAGAGTTTATTATTTTTTTCTAATTATTTTTTTAAACATTCACTGAAAAGTTATTCCTCCAAATACAAATAAAATTTAAATCTTTTTATGTTTGTTTTAATTTTTGTTAAGAATATGGAAATGGGTTATAGAATAGAGTAGATTTTGTAAATTTAGTGATAGAATGCGCATTTATAATATATATTTTTTATGTTTATTTATTTTGTATCCGTTTTTATGGTACAACACAATTTACAATTTAGGAGTTCAATGGATCTCTCTCTTTCTTCATTTCTTCATGTTTCTGTCTAAAAAGTTTTATTTTTGATAAAAAAACATATGAAAAATTTAAAAACACACATCATTTTGTTTTGTTTTTTTTTTTGTTTTCTAAAATAGCTTTTTTTAAAAAATCAAAATTTCATAGTATTTATTTTCACTAAATAAGTTTTTAATACTTTTCAAAAAAACTGAAAACGAAAAGAAAAACTAAAGTATATTCCATCATTTATACCAAGTCAACTAAAAAAAGTGACAACTGCAGCCTCTACTGCAAACCTAAAGCATTTATATTTGTTTGTATTTATAAATGTAAGGGGTTGGTGATTTTGTTAATCACAATCATAGTAGTATCAGAATATGTAATTATACAAGTAATATAATCATGTATGTGTTCAATATCGAACATTATTATCAATATTAGTGAATAACAATATCAAAAATTCCAAATCCTATCACATTTTTATGATTTGTTTGTTGTCGATTATGTGTATATATATGTTATTGTGGGGGGTTAGGGTTGTCGGAGGAGCCAGTGCAGCAAGAGAAGGAAGCAGTGGGAAGTGGCGGCGGCGGTGGTGGAGGTGGAGGAGGAATGTGGGAGGTGGTGGCGGCGGCATGTGGGAAGAAGAAGAAGCAGCAGCAGCAGCAGCGGCGGCGAAAGAAGGGGGAGGGGAGAATGACATCGTTGGAAGACGATGATGGAAGTGACGATGGTGGTGGTGGTAGTGATCAGAGGCAGAGAGAGCACCCGTTCATCGTGACGGAGCCGGGGGAGGTGGCGCGTGGGAAAAAGAACGGCCTTGATTACCTCTTCCATCTCTACGAGCAGTGCCGTGAGTTCTTGATTCAAGTCCAGAATATTGCCAAGGAGCGTGGTGAAAAATGCCCTACCAAGGTAACACTATAAAACTTTAGTCTAATTATTATTCAGTAGAGAAATTATTTTATTTTATAGAGCACATAAAAAGATATTATTAATTTTTGTGGAAATTGATTTGCGAATAAATTGCAGAATCGAAGATAAAAAAACGCAAGTTCAAGTGGTATCACCTATTATCTGTAAGGAAATTGATTTGCAAATTAAATATATATGATACATTAAAAAGGTCAAATTTGAGATTATGACTAAAATGGTTAATATTTTGATTAAATAAGAAGGAACACAAAAATTTAGATTAATTCGTATGAATTTTTTATGTATAAAAAATTTATTTGTATATCATTATTTTATCTCTAATTTGTAATGTGTTCTTCGTTTTAATTTTGTACATCTATCATTAATTCTATACATCTAGCATAGTTATACAAAATGATGATAAAAAATTAATAATATATATAACATTTTTCTATTTAGTCTTTTTAAGTATCATATTGAGGTATTGATTGGGATGATGCTTATGGACCAATAAGAACACTCTAGTCGTGAATGGGTGGAGTGGAGTTTTACCCAACGAAAACCCACTTTTCTCAGTAAGGTGAGGATAACGTCGTCCCATCCGTCATCTTTTGCATAAGATCAGTAGTTGGTAACACTACATGCAAAACATCACAAGTTAGGAATAACATTTGCACAAACCACACTACTACTCTGAAAGCACTGATTTTTTTTTTTTTTTGTTAAATAACTTAATGCCCAACCATAGAGTAGTTGCCCTAATAGGTGACGACGGGGGGAGTCTGGAAGTTTACTCTCTCTTAAGTTTGAGGTTCGAATTCCTTAACCAACAAACGCATACCTTGGGGCTACGGACTGTAGGGTGTAAGCTTTGTTTCGAAAGACTTATTCAGGTTGTAGGAATTTAGTCTGGTGTGCGTAAACTGGCCTAGGATACCCTACAAAAAAAAAAAAAGAACTTACTGCCTAAAAAATTTACTGTTACCAGACAAGGTATCACTAATTAATAATAAATTTATAAAGGTGAACTCAACAATTGATATATAGCTACTCACTCCAATCTACTTATTTAACTACATTAAAACTAGTGAGATTGATTATATTTACATGTTAATTTGTTATTGGATAATAATACCTCATATTATATAACGTGGTATCACCAATGTATTGAATTTTTTTTTATGGGGGTAAATTTTGAAATTTTGATGTGAGGAGAATTAGTGATTTGATGTGGAGGAAGGTTAAAGAGGCACAATTTGATTCTTTTGTGTATTCGTATGGGGTGAGTCATATGATTAGTTTACTAGTTCGATTGAATTTTTTTAAACGCCCCCAATGTCTAATTATATAATTGATTTTGTGTAAGCAGAAGAATTGATATACTTCATCCATGTGTATAGGTAACAAACCAGGTTTTTAGGTACGCCAAGAAGGCCGGTGCGAGCTACATAAACAAGCCCAAGATGCGACACTACGTCCATTGCTATGCCCTGCACTGCCTCGATGAAGAGGCATCCAATGCACTGAGAAGAGCTTTCAAGGAGAGAGGTGAAAATGTTGGGGCATGGAGGCAGGCTTGCTACAAGCCTCTCGTAGCCATCGCAGCACAACAAGGTTGGGACATTGATGCCATATTCAATGCCCATCCACGTCTCGCCATATGGTATGTTCCCACAAAGCTTCGTCAGCTCTGCCACGCTGAGCGCAGCAATGTTGGTGGTGGCGGTGGTTCTAGCTCTGTATCCGGTGGCAGGGCTGAGCACTTGCCTTTCTGAAGGTCTAGGGTTTTGGGGTATTTGTTTCAAGTTCTCAAGGATTTGCTAACTCTTTGGTGTATGATGAAATGGACCAACTCTTTGGTGTGTGTGATGAAATGGATGTGATTCGGGTAAATTGATGTGGATCTGCAGTAGTCATTTTGGATTTTCACTAACAAAAACGCTTCATTTGTGCTACATGCACATAAACTGATCGCACGTGTGGGGGACTCGGGGGACACAAAGACTAACTACAGAACCAATCACATATACTCACCCCCTTGCATGTAGACCTCACAATTGCTATGAAGTTCATATGCAAAGATGTGAGTATTTGAACTATCTTTGCATATGTAGACTTGTTTTATCAATCTTAGAGACACATAACTCAGCCGCAGAAAGTGGCAAAACAACATTCACGTGGTGCGGGGGGTCTTCGACTAATTGAGTGAAGTATGGTTAGCTCAAACATTAAACATGATCAACTACACAATTAACTAGTTGATAATAGTATCTATAATGTGACCAAAGCGCAAACCTCAGATTAGCATGAACCACAATCAACAATACAAGTAACACGGATTGGAAACAAGTCAGTATGCCTCACAGTTGCAGCAATACATTGCAAATCATCAAAACCCAAACAGCTCATTATCAACTATGCATAATACCTTTCAAAAAGAGAATTCCTATTGTCTGAGAAACAAGATTGGTTATGAATGTAAAGAGTATTTTCCCATTGGTATAGTCTTGCCAATATAACATCATAACTTTTGTGACAAAATCCACTTTGACAACATCAACCAACACCGGTGTTGAAAAAATAAAGATTATAATCTTTTAGGTTCAATCCTCGGTTGCTGCAGATGAATGAGTTGGATATTTCCACAGCACATCAGCCCATGTGCTGAAACCATCAGTCACCTCCTTAACGACAGATGCCACCTCCTCTACGCTGACACGAATCTGTTGCTTGCTGTCCCTCTCCCGGAGTGTCACTGAAGATGTTGAATCCACTGTAATGGCAAGGGGAACCCCAAGTTCGTCTGTCCTTGCGTATCGCTTCCCTATTGATGTTCCTGCATTATGCCAAATGTACATATTAACATTTTTTTACACATTTTGAAAAGTCTGCCAGTTCAGCAAATGACACCAATATATCAGAGCAGAAATGAATGCCACTATCCCTAGCCTAGACGCAAATGAAACAATTTATATTGGCCTAATCCCACACTTACATGTGATGTGACGGCACAAGGATCGTGATGGAAGCTCAAAGGGAGAATCTACGAAGTTACAAAACCTCATTACGTTTGCGATGGAAGGGAAGAGGAGAGGATTGGAAGGGAAGGGAAGGGAAGGGAAAGGAAGCGTAGGTAGGAATGGAAAGGAAAGAAAGAAAAGGAGAAGGAAAGGGTAGGATTACTCTTCCTATTGTTTGGATAATTGGGAGGTAAAAGGAAGAGAGGAGCCAATATTGGGAGAGAAGGTGAAGTGAAGTGGAAGAAACAATGATAGCGTTTGGTAGAGTTTTCTAAATATGATTTGAGAATAGCGTTGTATTTTGAGTTAGTAAGTTTTGGAATTATGATTTGAGTATGGAAAATTTGTTTGGTGAATGAGTTTTGAATTGAGTGGAGAATTTTTGATGTGACATATGATATTTGATACAAAAATTTATAACTCATAATATTTTTGAAAGTTGTATTCAAACACCACACTCAAATATGAGTGTGAAATCATGTTTAAAACTTCACGCCAAACACAATTTAGGTTTTGCTATTTTCCTTATCAAAAAATAAATAAAAAAGAAGGCGAAGATAGCTAGCTAGATAAGAATTGTTGTCCAAAATGTTGTCATGTGAAGACCGTCACAATAAATGCGGGCACAACTTTGTTGCTCCTGCAAGTAAATCTATATGAACATGTTGCAATAGAATTTAAGACACTTGGTTAGCGTTTGGTAGAATTTTCTAAATATGATTTGAGAATAGAGTTGTATTTTGAGTTAGTATGATTTGAGTACGGAAAATTTGTTTGGTGAATGAGTTTTGAATTGAGTGGAGAATTTTGATGTGACATATGATATTTGATACAAAAATTTATAACTCATAATCAAACACACAACTCAAAATTCTATTCAAAACTCATAATTTTTTTTTATAAATTCTGATTTTTTTATTTGTTTAAAATATAAAAAATAATAGGTGCCAATTGTAATAATAATAATAATAAAAAAAATAGCACTGTCCCGGCCAACCGGCCAGACGTCTGAGAGGACGACCGGTTAGCCCAAATTTTCCCGCCTCGAAAATAGTTTTCAAAAGTGGGTGGGGAATTAATTTTTGAAAACTCTAAACAAATAACACACTCAAAACAAGGAGTGGAAATGTATTTGGAGAGTTTCTCCAAACACCTGTTTTTTATGCACAGAAAAGAGTATAACTGGAATTCATGATTTATTATAAGTGGCGGCAAAATCAGTAATCACTAACTTCAATTCCCTCCAAAGCCTACCATTTTCAGAGGCTTATAAAAAGTGAAATAAAAGGAATTTTACCATCCTTTGGGCCTGTTCCCCTCCTACTTATTAAATACCTAAACAAGGGGAAACCACCCTTGGCTTCACTTCCCCTCACATCACTTCAGTCCAACCGTAGCTCTTCGAGAAGCCGTAGAACAATTTTAGTAGACAGAACCAGTTTAGGTGTGTCCTAGTTCAGTGTCCTCTATCTAGCTGGATAACCGTTTCTCACTAAATCTAACCGAGCGCTAGTTCAATAAAATTTAACAAGAGTGTTATAACTCCTTCAAAGTTGGTATTATAACAAAAGAGAAGGAAAAAATAATCCAAAAAAATGAAGAATTAAGCATAACAGATGGTTTCCCCATTTAAAAGGGAAAACATCATCTCAAAAGTCTAATAAATAAATCCAAAGCAAAAAAAGGAATGTGAACAAAAGGTGGAATCTAAGAAGCATGGACACTTCTAAGAAGGTGCCGTGTCCTGTCCAAATCTCCGTGTCCGCGTGTCCGTGTCTGTGTCCGTGCTTGTGCCCGTGTCTGTGCCTCTTAGGGTGGAATGGCAAAGAATTGAGGATCAAAAAATAGGGAAATAAGAAAAAAAAATAAAATTGCATGACATGCCTTCTTAATTTTTTTAAAAAAAGAAAATCTCTAAATCAAAATAAAAAGAAAAGGAAAAGAAAAAAAAAATAGAGCATCGATCAGAGGCAGGAAGGGCAGCAACAAAGTACTCAAAACAGAAGGGAATTCTGGAAAATATGTTTCCTTATAACTTAGCTTGCAGACAATAAGTAGCAAATAAGGAGAGTAAAAAAAATTAACGTTCTTTAACATAAAGACATGACTGTCTATTTGGGTTATGGGAGGAAGTCTAGGAAGACATCTGACAGGACTTACATGAAATAAGACAAGCTGAGAATTTACACAATTTTAATTATTTACTGTATTGTGGATACCTCTTTAAACATTTTCACATGATAAGTTTCAAATTTTCAGAGTAATATCATTTCAACCCAAATCCAACAGCAATTGAGAAAAGCATATAATTGGGTCAAACTTTTCAGACATCAATAACATTCAAAGATTTATAATGACACAAAACAGGCAGTCAACATGCTTGTGCATGCTTATACGTGGGGCATACCTGTTATGTCAATCTTATATGAGATCCCAGCAGCAGTTAATGATTTGGCTATGTGTTTGGCAACCTCCTCAAACTGCTGATTTTGAACCAATGGGAACACAGTGCATTTGATAGGTGCCACAAGTGGAGGGAAACGGAAAACATTCAACTGTTCATCTCCGCCTTTACTAGATCGTGTATAGAAGGAATGCTCATAGAGACAGTAAATTATCCTCCCAATACCAAAAGAGGGTTCGATTACTGATGGCGTGAAAACCCTCTGATGTTCCTTCTTTGTCTCCTTAGAGATTGTCACCATGTTCTTCTTTATAGTGATAGTGTGCAAACATTGAACTCTACCTCTCCCTTGGACTCCAGTGTGGCCTTCATTTCCATAGCTTCTTTTTCCCCCATTGACTGCATGCAAACAGGAAACGTAGTATAATAAGTCAGTGTTCAGAATACTAGTATCTTGGAAATGATTTAAAAAACGAAATAATTAAAAATAAAAAATAAAAAATAAATAAAATGCCTCACACTAAGCCACGCAAAACCAAACACAGTTGAATCACCATCAAATCATTGCCTAGCAAATAGATTTTATTATACCTCCAATGCTTCAACCACCATCTTCTGGTTTCCCTTGAATGCAAGGCCCAGCTCCTTCTTAACTGGAGCTATAACAAGTTTCTGAACCAAAGTAAAAAAAGGATTAAATTTTTTCATAAAACTACTCCGACATAATATATATATATATATATATGCATATACATGTATGAATATATGTCTGTATATATATCAAGAGATAGAGAGAGTTACCTCCACTTCTCTAGGCTCTGCAAATTTTTCAGCAGCCACTAAGGGCACACCACTTTTATCCTATAACAAAGAAATAGAGAACTTCTGCCTGAGTAGTTCAGAATATTATTCATACTATTTTTCTGGACAGGCTTCAAGCATGAAACATCACAAACGATGTACTTTTCATTTTGGCCTTTTCATAAGCATCAATCTATGCCATGACTTTAGAAAATATGATTTTTTTTATGAGACTAGACCACCACGCAGTGATACAATTCACCTCAGTTATCACAATTAAGAAAATAGAACAACAGATTTTGGCAAGTCAGTAATAATTCTACTATTTTTACATTAAAAGATCATAAAGCTCTCACCGTGTGAGCGCGCAAATCATATGCAGATCTATCAGCAATGCCAACACATTCAATCCAGCCATAAGAGCATTCAATCTCAGCATCCCAACAATCTGCAGCATAGTGTGCCATCTCATTTGCAAGATGTTGCCGGAACCGTAAGCGTTCCTTATCAATACCAAGATACGTCAAGAATAAATACACTCTCCCAATAAAATAGCCCAGTGTTTCATTGTTGACAATGCCCTGACAAACAGAGAATTCACAAATGAGTTGGACACCACGTAAGTATAAGTTTCCTTTGAGAGAATACAACAGAGGAGCAAGATGTTA